GTTTCACCGTGTTGACCAGGATGGTCTCGATCTCTTGACCTTGTGATCCACCCGCCTCGGCCTCCCAAAGTGCTGGGATTACAGGCTTGAGCCACCGCGCCCGGCCCTAATTCTTTTATAAGTTAATAATCCTGCAGGAATACAGCCATCATCAAGAGACATCAGCTTTTAAGTGGCTTCTTTTTGTCTTGCAAGGAGAATACTTCCTTCATTTCGTTTTCACATTTAACTGCTGACTGTAAAATGGTAAATATGTTCTAGCACAGCAGTATTGGGAGTGTGGTCTGCAAATAGGTACTGACCACAAAAAGTTTATTAGAAGTTTATTGCAAGTAAAAAATTGTAAGAATTTAGAAATTTGTATAGCAATCTGACAATTTAATGCCTGTTGATTTTGGTAACATGACACTAATACATATACACTATTTTCACTGCATTTTACAAAAGTACTACATTGTGATAAATTAGTAACTAAAAACTGGTTGTTCACCATAGCTAGAGAAGCACTTAAAGTCCTGGTCCATTCATCTATCAATCCAACATATACTGAGCATTGTTCTAGTTATTAGAGATATACAAGTGTACAAAACAAAGTAGCTGCTCTTGTGATTTTTACATTCTAGTGAGGAGAAGAAGACAATACATGAATAGGTTTTATGTAAATGAAAAAAACACATCAGTTAATAATTAGTGCTATAAGAAAAATAAAGTATGGTAAAAATGTAAGAGAGTGAAAGGGGTGCTATTTTAGATGGTCATTTAGATGGTGTTATTTAGATGGTCTCTCTTGAGGCCCTGACATTTGAGCATGAAGTGAAGGAATGGGCACGTGATTCCATAGCAGAACAGCTTTCCAGGGACAGTTAAAAGGTAAACTGTTAGGAGGAGGGCACTCACTACAGAGTATGGTATTTAGTCTGGTTGGAGCACAGAGGTAGTCAGAGGCAGAAGATGATACTTAAAAGGAAAGAAGAGGCCAGATTATAAGAGTGTTATTAGGATCCAGTTAACTTTAGGGCTCCTGAATTAAATCTAAGTGGGTTAAGACCTCCTAGAGAATGTGGAATGATGTGAAAGTCTGGATTAGATTTTAAACTGATGTGTGACCAGAGTACAGGAGAGTAAAACTGGAAGAAGGGAGACTAAATAGGAACAGTGAGGGAGAACTGAACACACACACACACACACACACACACACACATTATTATACTTTAAGTTTCAGGGCACATGTGCAGAACAAGCAGGTTTGTTACACAGGTATACACGTCCCATGGTGGTTTGCTGCATCCATCACCCTGTCACCTATATTAGGTATTTCTCCTAATGCTATCTCTCCCCTAGCCTCCATCCTCATATGATCCCTCCCTAGACCTCCATCCCCTAACAAGCCCTGGTGTGTTGATGCTCCCCTCCCTGTGTCCGTGCGTCCTCATTGTTCAACATCCGCTTATGAGTGAGAACATGCAGTGTTTGGTTTTCTGTTCCTGTGTCAGTTTGCTGAGAATGATGGTTTTCGAGCTGAAAATATTTTGCTCAAAGTTTGCAAAAACAAGTAAGCTTTTTGCCTTTGGCAACTCAGTAAACTGATGCTGGTTTAGATTAGGTTGGCAGCAACAGGTAGAGAGAAATTGTTAGCTATGAAGTGTATTTTGAAAATACGACTAAAAGAATTTGAGATTACAATGAAGGAAATGAGATAAACAGAAAGAGCAGAGATAATTTGACAGATTTTTGTTTACTAGTTATCTAACTGGAAATGTCTAGCAGATACACATTTGGAAGTCATTTATCAAAGATCCTGGTATTTAGAGCCATAAAACTAGATGGAAATTGGAAAAAGGTGGCATTACTTGTGTGTTGTAAACAAAAGATCACCAAGACATTTGCTGATGAAAAAAAGACAAGATAGCCTTACAGTGTGTATATGCTATCATTTGTGCAAAATAATATATGATTTATTTTTACATGCCAGTCACTCTTCCAAGTCGTATAAACATATTTAATCATTTACAACTCACAAATCTACGAAGAAGTACTATCGCTGTTAGTGCCTTTTTACATTAAGAGAAAACGGAGGCACAGGTCAGCTAAAAGACTTGATGGTTACATAGTAACTGGAAGAGATAGAACTTGAGTTACCGGCAGTCTTGCTTCATAGTCCAAGCTCTTAAACACCACTCCATATTGCCTCTCATTGAATGTGTATTTGCTTTTATTTGCATATAACATGTTTAGAAAAACATAAGAAACTGGCAACTTTGGTTGCCTTCAAGGAAGCTAATTTGAGGGTAGGGGACAGGGGTGAAAGAGCAACATCGCATTATATAAATTTTTTTTTACTTTTTTTTTGGAGACAAGGTCTGTCACCCAGGATAGAGCACACAGTGGTGGAACCACTGCTCCCTGCAGCCTCGACACCCCAGGTTCAAGCGATCCTCTCACCCCAGCCTCATGAGTAGCTGGGACAACAGCTACCACCATGCCCAGCTAATTTTCTTAAAAAAATTTTGTAAAGATAGGGGTCCAACTATATTGTCCAGGCTGGTCTTGAACTCTTGGCCTCAAGTGATCTTCCCACTTCAGCCTCCCAAAATATTGGGATTACAGGGATGAGCCATAGTACTTGGCCTATTTTGAATTTTAAATAATGTGACTATATTATTCTCCTCATCATCGCTATTTTTTTTAGAGACTTTCAAAGTTACCGCAAATCAAATCATCACTATTTTTTA